CGACCTCATTTCCCTAAGTGTCGGCCCTGTCACTCAGCAGAGACCCTGTCAGCATGGCCTCCCGTGTCTGAGGGTCCCGGCTGCTCTCGGGGCATCACCGCCACTGCCGCTGCACGCACCTCAACTCGGCCCATCCTCATCAAAAACAGGATAGAACGCTCAATCTCTAAAAATATGTCAAGGCAAAGTGACTGGGGACACAGGGGGTAAGAGACTTTGGAATGAAAGTGCTGGGTATTTCATTTACCATATCCACTCTATTAGTCGGAGCGGCACAGTCAATCAGAGCCCCATTTTGATTCGAAGGGAGTCAGGGGAGTGAATTGGGACACGGCAAAATGGCTGACGGTCACGGCGTGGCCATTCCTGCTCAGCCGAAATCAGTTTTAGGAGTTGGTGTGTATAAAATGGATTATTACCATACGGATCCAACACATCGCTGCCCGTCCTTGTTAACTCAGGAGGACGCAATGAGCAGGCGCAGTGAGCACAGTGATGAGAGGGGGGTGAGGCTGAGGCTGAGAGGGTCGAAGCCGTAGGTGTAAGTGTGCGTCCGTGTGTGCGTGTGATTGTGCTGTCTGCTCAGTCTCCTCTCCAGGTCTCCTGGAGTTTCTTTCTGCGAAATGATTTGGTAAGTATGGAACGGGGCCCCTAGGCCACACAGGCTCTGCCCTTCTTTTAGGAGTGGATAATTGACTCCTTTTCCTCCTTATAATTCATTGCTTGCATATGCCAGCTAATACAGCAGCTGAAAACTGCTCTGGCCCTCATCTCCCTCGACGCGCACATGCACACGCACATCGCTGCCCAGAGGAATGAGCGACGGTGGAGACACTGAGCATAAAAAATGGGGATGACAAATGGGAGCACTTCTAGATCTATGAATGAATTATGTCTTCTAAATACCTTGAGCAGAGGCAACTGTCAGCCGTCATCTATACTAATCTGGGACAAAATATGACCAGCTCCACATTGAAAACGGAAAGAGCAGGGCTGCTAGAGAATGAGGCGAGAAATGAACGTGCAATCAGGCCATTAAAATGTGGTGTCTGATTCAGCTTTGGTGGACATTTGCACATTTATCATGAGATGGAAATATCCCCCCTCCCCTTTGTCATTTTAATGCAGTCCCTTCCATTCAAATAGATTAGGATTATGCCAACAGGACAGAGATATCATTTGTTTTACAATAGCAGAGTCAGCACTCACACCAGTCATTAGGAATTAGAAGAAGGCGGCCGCTGTTTGGAGGGACAGTGCGCAAACTGAAAAGAAGGATAAAATTAATGGCACTTCATCTTCAGAGGTGGGATATGTTAAACACCCCGTTTCCCCCAACAACAGAAGTGGGATGGAAAGACAAATGGCTTATGCAAGATGGAGGAGGAAACTATTTATGAGCTGTAACAAGTTCAGTGTGTATGAGACACACTGGGTCACTCACCTGGTGATGATTATGTTCACAGAAGGATGCAAAGACACGGTAACCTTGCTATTGTTCTAGCTTCCTGTTATCTGGGAATGTAGTGTATTACCTGTGGGAAATGCATTTTTACAGGCAGCAGCTCTGAGACAACCTGGACGTGGTTCAGAGCCACAGGAGGATCACAGGAGGCCCAAGGACGATGCAGTACAGCCACCAACAGGAAAGCACAGATAGAGGCCGTGGTGCATTCATGGTCCACACACTGTGAATGTGAGAAAAAATAATAATAACTGTGACCACCCATCTGGTGTAATGAAAAGTTCATTATGTTACTAACATGGTAACAATATTCTATATTGATTAAAGAAAAAAAATCAGCAGTTGGATAGAGTATTTCATTAAAAATAAAGCCTATCGCTTTTTATTTATTGGTTTTTAAAGTTTTTGGGTTTTTTTGCTTGATCATTTTCTTTATTTCACATTAAGCACGTGTGAACTAGCAGATTATGCCGTTATGCTTTTAAAATCCAAGCTCTCAAACATGTTTTGTACTGAATTACTTTGTTCCACACAAAGAGGCACAAGAAAAAGATGCAAAAAGAAATCTATGAAAAATGCGGATGAAGGCGTTAAATGTAAACGTTAGACTTCTGCTATAAAATAATTTCACTGTTAGACTGTTAGATTCAAAGTAAGCGGAGAGAAACTCTGTGGGGATGATACTGACTTTAAATTTAAAATTTTCTGCAAAGGTGCAGTTTAAAACTTCTGCAACATGGACCTGTGCAGTTTTACATTTGTTTTTTTATTCATACTTGCCCATTACGTTAATATTAGAACGAGACTGTCTTAATTCTGCGGTATTCATTTTGCTAGGTTGGGGACACTTTAATTATGTTCTTCTGGGGTACAAACTAGAAAAGCGTCAAATTCTTACACTTTTTAGAGTTAAATTTTACTTATTACTAATTAAATGTCCTTCACCACCACATTAATCCGAATGACCACTCACCCCTCCAAAAACAGAAGAAGAAGAAGAAGAAAGAAAGGTTAGTGTACCTTGGATGATTATCGCTCTCAGAAACACGGTGAGAACGACGATACTGCCCTCTAGTGTCCTAAAAGAGCATTGCATCCCATACAGGCCAAGAAAGGAAATAAATACTTTTTCTCAGTTATCTGATTTGGGGATATTCATATTAGCGTTTTTGTTTTTCTTTGTTTTTTATGGTGATAATCTGAACACTGAATTTAATACATAATCCACCCACCTGCACAAATCATCAGACTGTCGCAAGGCTAACACATATAACCGTTCGCACTCACACCAGTGCGCATTTTAGAATTACCAGTTACCCTTACCCAACTGATTTCGACTGCAATAAGCTAGCACAAGAGGAAACGTGCAAACACCACACAGAAAGGCCCGGATGGTGGAGTCGAACGAGGACAACATGATCAGACTGAGTCAGTCACAGTCTTGGATGGGAGAGCGCGAGGTAATAATTATTCATTATAATTATTAATTACTGCAAGACTCACCAGTGACACACTACACACACACATTTCAATGCACACTTAAAGCTATGTTTACATATTGGGTCAGTGAACGGCGCATAGTGACACTCACCCTGCAAAGGCATCTTGCAAGATTGCTGGAAACCCACAGAACCAACTTTGTGTGTGTTTCAAATATAAAACATCTTGGCTTACATAATATAAAGAACTGTCCGACAGTCCTTTAGTTATCTAGGTGTTTGTTATGCCATCTGTAGACTTATACATACAAAATGCAATAAAAGGAAAGTCCCATCACTTGTTTAGTATATAGCAAAGAATTATTTGGAGAAGCTTTATACAGACTTAATACTTACCGATGAGTCAAAAGATTCAGGGTCTGGGCACAGTAGTACTGCAATGTTCGTCCCATGACTTGGAGTAACTACTAAGAAGAGAATAGCAGATAATTTATCACTACACGCAGTACAGCTGCTGGCCATAATGTTAGGTTTAGAGTGGATATACGTAATTATTGCGTCTGCATTACTGCATTTATCAGCGCTGATGGGTACTCGATGTTCGATATAAAAATATGAGGGCATATTTAAGTGGAAATAAACAGTCTTTCAACCGTAAAAAATGTATTACCAAGAAGCATTGTTACAAAAATCGCTCAGACTTTCATACGTTTTGTCCCATGTTTATAAAGCAGTGATATATACTGCTTTTCATCCACAGGGTGGAGTCATGAGATCAGATATATCTCCCGGCTGAGCCGAACTCTTTTTAAGCTGATTTTAACTTTGAATCAAGCAACGAACATTCAGTTTGAACCATTGCTCAAATTAAACAAACTTGCTGCTCTTTAGGTACATTGTATCCACTTTGTCTAGACTCTGCTTGTATCTCTGTGTCCAGAGATAAAAACTGTCAGACATCAATTTAATGTGGTGAAAGATGATGAGACGATTACTCACTTTTATTTGGATTTTATTATTTAATATAGCCGTGGTAGGTTTTTTGGGTAGGGAAATACTTTACAGCAATGTTCCTGCAGCAGTGTGTTGATGTGTAGAAAATATATGAAAATAAATATTAAAGTGTTTAATATTTGAATTAAAGAAGAAAAAGTAAATGTCAAGATGTTTTGTGCTTGTGTGGAGGAGGAGAGACATGAGATCATTTTCTGTGAAAAAGTGAAAAAAGACGTCATCATCAACAGAAAGTATCACGAGTAAAATTAAAATACATCTGTTGGCTGATCTATTGCTTTATAGGGCATTACACTGTTGTTAATGATGATGCATCATTACAGTGCATAAGTAATATTCTGGTGAAAACAATTAAATGGTTTACTTCAGTGGCTGACAGACCCCAAACTGTCATTCTTGACTTTTATGGTTAGGCTTTACAGGTAGCTGCAAACTTTTTATAGCTTTGCAAAGACAGTTAATTTACAAATAATATATCACCATCAGATCAATTAAAATAGATTAAAGCTACTTTATAGGTTATTGAGTTTGCGTTACTCGTAAAGTTTAGAGTTGTGGCACGATTGCTCCATTTTTTCTAACAAAATTAATTGTATGCTTTTATGAATAAAACTCATTTTGTTTCTGCTTTACTTGATTTTCTCTCAAACGTCTCCCTTTGTGTTAGACAGGGAGTGGGTGCTCCTTGAGATGATCTTGACCTGTGTCCAGTACAGACAATAAATAATTCCTATTCCTGGAGGCTTCTGTGGGAATACTTCCACTATTATGATCCCAGTGACAACACAGGTCAGAGAAAATTTCCAGTCATTGCTTAGCCTCAGAGCGTCCTTCATGTTCCAGCATGCCTCAGGAAGTTGTCTGCCATTTACTGCACACTGCGCTCTGGCTCGGGGCTTAGAAATGCCTCGATCCTGATAAGAGAGAATAAAACCAGAGCACCAAACTGGAAATGCACACTCCTGCAAGCCTTTCTAATAACAACAAAAAGGAAATATAAAGAGAAACTCCACGTTTACAGTAAAAAGAAGCAGCTGCAAGAGAGTAGTTCAATTCAATTACATTTTATTTATATAGGACGAATTCACAAAAACACTTGCCTTAAGGTGCTTTATGCAAGTTACAAACTACAGTATTCGATAGAAAACAACAATCAGACAACCAACTATGATCCAGCACTTGGCAACAGGGATGGGCAACTGGTTATACACAATGGGAGTAAGACCTGGTACACAGGAGGCTTATCTGGTGGTGGTTAGGGTTAGAGATGCTAAGTATTTTGTTGAAGTGACCAGGATGGACAAGATTAGAAATGAGTATATCAGAGGGACAGCGGTTTGGAGACGAACGTAGAGAGGTGAGGCTGAGATGCTAGGCTGGGATGGAGGCAGATGATCTGCTATAGCTATTCCTAAAGCGGCCAGTCAAAAGAAGAAAATGATATAAAAGTTCAGATGTGCCTTGGAATGGTGATTTGTTCAGGGTTTAGCGCACCTCTCATCCATGATAGTGGGGTTAGGATCAAGTCTGCATGAATGGATGGAAGTATTTTTTTTAGATAAAAATTGCTCAGTTACATTAACCTTTGCTGAGTTAAACCCAGCCCTGCGCTAAATTAATCCTGCTATGCCATTCTTCAGAGCAGCATGACCTCATTACTAGTTGAGCTGAGGTTGCCAAGACATGTCACCTTCTTTACAGAAACGAGTCATTGAATAACTACAGACACCCACACAGCCTGCCTGTATCCACTCAAAAAACACTGCAATAACAGTGGGCGTTGGCCACCGTGTTATCTTTTCCGTGGTTTGATTGTGTGAGGGGAACACGCTGTGTTTGAGGACAGCTGATGTAAAATGATGAGTAAACAGGGCTTTTGCATTTGCCGGCAGCTGTTGAGTCAGACGCCAAATGATGGGCAACGTAGCCGTTTGTACAGTCCCTGCTGGGGTTACTCAGATAACAAATGACTTATCATCACAGCCTGTGCATCTTCTCATTTAGCCTGACAGTTCCAGTGGCTTTGTTTCTGTGTATTCTTCACAAAGGGGGTCAGTAGAAGTATTATTGTTATAATTTGCTCAAGATAGCATCCTTAATAGTTTTAGTGAGCTGTCTGAACAGATACACTATATACTTCTGTTCAAGTAAAGAGTTATCTATATTTATAAAATATACAGGGGTCCCAAGCATGTATTAGCACCTGTAGTAATCATGCACGACAACACAAGTAGAGAAATTCACAAAACACTCCTGAATCTATTTTAGCACAGCTCAAGGTTACACCATCACTCAAAGCAGCTGGTGCAGGAAATAAGAAGAAGAAAGAAAAGTTATGTTGAAGTGTGTAGAAAAGCTGTGACTGCATTCACCCGGCTTTTATAACTGCACTGATCCTCCTTCACAAAGGTGGCAAACACTAACCAAAGTCAATCCATAGGAAACGAATACACAATGAATACACAATCACTAGATGTGTTCTACAACAAGAACTACATAAAACAGGCACTTGGATTACGGTATCATCTCCTTCCCTGTTTCATTTCCTGGAAAGATAATGTACATCCTGGGACAGGGCAGTAAAAGTACAACTTCCTGAAACACACGGAATAATTATCAGGGAGTTTGCACAATACATTTACGCTCACAGGCTGAGTCTGCAGGCCTTTTCGCTCTTGTATCATATTACCACGCCGTCATTCTAGTTACTTAAGTCATGTGTTATTTGAGTTTACCAACTTTGGCATAAATAAAGTACGACTTAGTTTATAACTTATAGTAGCAATTAATTCTTGCAGTCACGCCAGACAGTGTAAACAGAACAAAGTCCACGCTATGTAGTGATCTGATCTATGTGGAAGTGCTCTCCCGGCAGTCAGAGCTCAGAGTGGGTTTATCTCCAGTAACACCAGTGCCACAGGTCCCTGATGTGTGCTGCTCAGTGGCTTCATCCTGACAGGAAGGCAGGGCAGTGGCTTCCCCTTGGATGGAGCTGGATTTGTGAGATGAGCTAGGGGAGTTGGTGGGGCTGAGCTGGACAGCTGTCGTGTCCTGAAGCGTGTGCTCGCTCGTCTCCATCTCAAAAGCAACTGCCCCCATCCTCATCAGCGCCCATTTCTCACCTCCTTTGGCCTTATGGGCAGTGTGGGCTTGAGGTCTCCTGCTGATGACACAGCAGGCTGTAAAGAAAGCCAGCGCTATGAGTAAAAGAAGAGGCCCAATGAAGATGGGAGGATTGCTTGTAGGGATAAAGGTACCAAACGCAAAAGCTCCCACCAGGGTGATGTTGATGCCAGCCAGCATGATGCACAGCCCACAGGCGCAGCACAGGGCTGGAGAGGGCATGCTCTGGTGCCTCGGAGCATGCTGCTCGGGGGTCTTCTTGGGAGCAGATGAACTGGAGTTTTTTTCAGGTAGCACCATGTCTCAGGAGAGCTCAGAGAAGCTGTTGATCAGACAAATGGCTGAAAATAGATCATTTGATCTCTTTAGAAAGAGAGGCTGAAAAGTAACATGACACATTTTAAAGACTTTTCATTCTTCTGATTTTGAACTCTGGCAACTTTTTTTCTTCCAAAGTAATTTCTTAGCTGTTAAAAAACTGTGAGCATTCCCGTCTAATTAAACGCATTAGTTATGAGACTTTAAACCTCAACATTAAAGCGCGAATACAATTCATCGAAGGCAACAATGCTGACAATGCCAAGTGAGAATCTGCAAATATAAAAACAGTCTTGTTCTCTCGCCGATGGTCCACAGACACACACACAAACCTGAAAGCAACACTTGCTGCAAAATTTCTCTGCACCATTCTGTGTCGCTTACCTTACATCGGACACATGACTCTGGCCGTTTGGGCGCTTTGTCCGTGTGTCATGTTGCACAGGAGCGGCGGGTGTGATCTGCTCCTCCTGCAGGTGAGCAGCGGAGTGATCTGCAGCTGATGCACTGCTGAATATCGGCCACTGGCTGCGCTGTGGAGCTGCTTCAAACAAACAGCCCAATCACAGCCATCACCCTCTGAAGTGCTTAAGCTTCTAACGTGTTACATTAAAGGTGCTCTCGGGAAAAGTGGAAACACACACACCACTGCACTCCTACATCTATCTGATGTTTATTTCCTTAAATCTAATGATGGGAAAAGTTTGTGAAACCTGGGTTATTAAAGTACAAAAAAGAAAAAAGGCTCGAGACTATGGCCTCGCTCCTCTTTCTCCTTTGCTTTTCAAAGAAGTCTCAGCAAGGACACGGCATCTGTTTCTTACCAGTGTGCGTAGAGGTTATTCACCATCTCCTGTCCCCTCCTCATCTGTTTAGTCCAAAACAATGAGTTGTTACCATTTATCACTCCTGACTGAAATAAATCTTTGTAAACTAAAGAACATCTGCTGCAGTGAAAACAAAAATCCATTTGCTCACGTCTCGTGAACGAGACCTTTGAGTGCACAACACAGTAATATTGTCTTGATGTAACACAGCTTAGACAAGAAGAGCTTTTTATTGAGAACACAACATGCCAGTGAAAACACGCTCTACACATGAGAGCTTTATGCATAGGACCCCATATGAGCTTTGACACATTTCAGAGCGACTCTATAATCGCATACCAATTACTGCATCTCATTCTAGGCAATCTCAAGTAGACGGAGGGAAACAAACAGCTTCTTTTATGATTCATACTAGTGTGGGGGCTTTAACATAGCAAGCAGTCGTTTCCTAACATGTGTATTCATTCTGAGCAAATCTCCATCAATTCATGCCAGCCTATGAAGGCCCTTAGTTGCTATAGGGATGGGTTGTCCATGGCAACAGTGTGAAATAAGGGAATGAGTTGGCACTGGCACATAAACTTTGTAAGGTACGATAAACAGGAGCCTTTGGAGATCCCATTCAAACACAGACAGTCTAAATTATAAGACAACATAAAGAAAAAGTAGCTTCTTCTAAAAACAAAATAAAAAATCAGAAAGTATCAGAAAGAATTCTCAGTTCATCCATAACAGTTTCCATTGGCACAGACAAAATCAAAACAGGGACAATTAAAAAAATATTTTTTAACAGTTTTATAAACTCACTTCACAGAATGGAATCACGTATCTCACTAGTGTAACATAAACTATTCTCTAATCCCTTTAAACCAGCCATGCAGGGCTTGTAACAGGTAGATTACACAGATACCATCAACAAGTGCTTGTGATGCAAATCTAGAACAAGGAAAGGCTTATCCACCGCTAAACGTTTCTACTCGCTGTCAATCGCTTTCCCTCCCAGTGACACTTATCTGAAGCAGCAAACGATCTCTCTCAGTCCCTTTCTACTTTTTTAAGCCACACCATTTGCTTTAGCTGCAGCTCTTTTGAGGACTGGCAAACCCAGTCACTGCTGGTTGATCTAAGCCAGCCCAGGAATCAGGAACACTACAAAATACAGAGACCATACCTGCTGCTCATAGGGTGAATAATCTTTGTGTGCACACATTAACATTATATATAAAAGTCCCACAGTTCAGCTTTAAGTCTCATGAACTGCATAAAACTTAAAACAAATGCAATTTTCACATTTCAAGTAAGTTAAACTTAAAATATATATATAAGATCACTAAGACAATAAGAAATTAAGCAAAACCTCTTGGAATAATCTGCATCACAACACCAAACATGACCTCCAACGAGAAGTTATAGCAAAAGCGCTGAAAAGATAAATACTATTTTTAAGTGTCAAATTCATATCATTGGTGAAGCTTTAAAAACACAAGAACCTCCCATTCTGGGCAAACTAAATAAGATATTTATTTTAAAGTACATCAGTGCTGCAGGTAGCTTGTATTGACATGAGAAAAAAAAAAAAAAAAAAAAAAAACACTTTAAGATCCAGTCTCACTCCATGAGTTTCTGCAACCTCCAGCCACACTCTCAGGTAGTCATGAAGACACAGCTCGACAAAAGAGTCAACAGGTAAAACAGGGGAAAGGCCCTGTTTAACCCTCAGACTCCTCTAAGTGTTGTCTGTTTTTAATCACTTAAATCACATACATTCACACATAAAAATCATATAATCATATAAAAAAAAAAAAGAAAAGAAAACATGCTTTAAAAAAGCAAGAAAAAAATCCCTTTTCTTTAGTCACTAAAAAGCTTTCAAATAAAATAACTAATTCACAGCTGGAAAAACAAGAGAAGTAATAAAATAAAATCTACCTATAAGACGATATTGCATTAAAGCAGCAGCTGCTGCTGCGTAGCTGTCCTGATTCTTAAAATGCTGTTTTTGGTGATGATATGTATTTTAGTAAAAACTGCTGGCACTGAGAGCAGTTTCTGGTGTTTTGGGTAACGATGACTAACCCAACCTGTGAAGACAATACATAAATTTCTTAAAGCCAAAGTTGTTCTGAAAGAAAATCAAACCTTTGTTAAAAATACTCATCAGCTTAAAGTAACTCCTGGCCAAATCCTGGAAGTTTTACTGTTTTCTATTAGTAGGCAGAAGCTGAGGTTTAACTGTGCACTTGATGTTCAAACTCTCACTGATAAGACTACTGGCCAAGGAGAGGACTTTCAACAACGGAGATACTTTCCATACTGTGTGACCGATCCTACAAGGCTCCCTATAAAAATAAAAATCCACACAGAAGGTAACTAAAATTATTCAGATAACATGATGAGGAGGTTAAGGACCCTCAGGCTGTGGCGTCATCTGAAGTGGGTGCAAAGTCTCCGTGCCGGAGAGCACTGGACTGTGCCCGTCTGCGAGCCAGCCTGGAGTTAGAAGGAGGAGAAAGCCTCATGGAGCAAACAATGGCTCCGACGTCCTCCCGCTGCTCCTCGTGCTGGGATAGCTGCCGGTTGAAGGCGATGGCTTCTGCTGCAAACTGGGTCAGATCTTTGGTGCTGCTGTTCCTAGAACAAGAAAGAAGGCAGAAACAGATATGAGAGACATCTAAGCACACTTCTGCCACTTCTCACTTTAATAATGTGATTAGAATAAAGTATCCTAGATCCTTGTTTCATCAATCCCAATATTTTCCATCTTAAAAAAAAAAAAAAAAAAAAACATCTTGAAGCAGAGAGAACCTGAAATTGTTCTCAAATTTAAAAAAAAAAAAGTTGTTCATAAACAAAGGTATGTGCAGAAACTCTAGTTTCCTATGAAAAGCCACAAACACTAAAGGTCTGATTCTACTTCAACCACAGAAACGGAGCTAAAATAAAGACAGACCTCTGCAGAACACGAGGAGTTGGAAGACCTCTCTCTGGAGCATTCTGGAAAAAAAGAAATAAATAAAAGAAAGAAAGAAAAAAAACTCACAGCTGGAAAATAAGGACAATAATTCCAGCTGTCTAACATTAGACAAGTAGTGCTCAAATGTAATTATACCCACCCCCTGCACCCAAGGGTGCTTGAGGACCTGAGCAGCACTGAGGCGCAGAGTGGCGTCCCGAACCAACAGCTTTGATATGAGGTCCTTGGCGCCCACTGTGATGTGGGCCCAGTCCTTGTCTGGAAATTCATATTTGCCCTGCTGGATGCTCTCAAACAGGTGACTCTGAGGGGAGAAGATCAAATAGATAAGTACATGCCATTTACACACACACACGCACGCACGCACGCGCACGCTGCATTATTGTGCTGCATTCATTTTTGTAATGGTGTTGTCATTCTGTTGTGCATTATAAATTCTGACCTCACACCTTCTTTACAGAAGTGAGCTTTTTCTCCACGCAGCACAAAATTCAATAAACCAAACCAAAACTCCGCTCAAGCCAAGATAATGGAAGAAGAACCGACGACATCCATCTAGATGAAGTGAAAGCTAAAACAAGGTTTTCCCTGGTAAATCTACAGAACCTCTTCCCATTTCTTCTCAGCCCTAATACTCTACTACTTAAAAAAAAATAATAATACCCCAAACTGTACTGAAAGTGTTTGGCTTTTCTGAATAATTCACATAAGAGCATTTGACATATGGGTCAACAGCTAAAGCCAAATCAGCCGTAGTGCTCCTATACATCGGCTTTTCTCATTTTTTTATTTTTAAAAAGAGATTTCAACCTACATCTAAGCCTAACTTAACCTACATTACTAATTATGTTTCTTAATTAAGCCAGTATACAGCAAAAAAAGAAAATTTTTTAGTTACTTTATTTGAACCGTCTACCATGGACATGATAATCAAAGAGGCCAGCATTAAGATGAACAAGCTGTAATGCCAGCTAAAGGAGGCATTACAGAGCATGTGTTCTTTTAACACCTCTAGTCTGTAGTTTTATATTATTTATAATGTCTTCATTTCAGAATGATAAGCGGGGACACACAGTGAATCTCTGTGGTGCAAACACTGCTGAGCTGAGCAATTATCCATGGGATGGACGCTAAACAACAGTGCTGATTGGAGGGGGCATACCTGGCATGTTCTGCATCTTTCTCCCCGATCCCAGCCACAGTCAGAGCCACAGTGTCCTGTGAAGGGTGGGCTGCCACTCAGTAAGATGTAGAGGATGACCCCGAGGCTCCACAGATCACAGCGTTTGTCGTAGAAGGAGGCCTCATCAGTGAACACCTCGACTACTTCTGGAGCCATGTACTCTGCCGAGCCACACTGAGAGAGGGCAAAGATCAAAAGCAAAGAAGAGGCAAGTCAGTGTAATCCCTTATTAGTTAATTGGACAATATTATGTGGCCGACAATTTAGAATTAGACACTTACTGGTGTTGTGAGCTCTGGGGTTGTTATGGGTGTACAGGCACTGCTGAGCTTTACTCCACTTCCTAGATCAAAGTCACAGATCTTTACTGGCGACACCTAAGTAGAAAGAGAGTAAATATACGATTATGTTGTTAAATTATAAACCTTAAGGGATAATTAATGCCTTTCTCAACTCATTAAATGCCAATTACCTGATCAGTGTATTCACAGAGTATGTTTTCTAGCTTAAGGTCTCTATGGGCAATGCCTGCAAACAAAAACGCTGTCACCTTTACACTTAAAAACAAAAACAAAACCTCTGTTTCCTTTGGATTTCAGCAGAACACCTGCTTGAATTTTGACCTACCTTTTGTGTGTAAAAAGTCGAGAGCTTGGGCAATATCTTTCACTACCTTACTAGCCTCCAGTTCATCAAAGTGCTTTCGGTTTTGGATATGTGTAAGAATAGAACCTGCAGAAAGAGAAGAGGATCACTCACGGGTATATTTGTGCGCTCTTAATGAGCCATCTGGCAACAGCTCTGTTTGCATTACATAACTGTTGTGTTAATTATTCACACTTACCACCACGCAGCTTTTCAAATACCAAATAAAAGCAGTTGTTGTCCTCAAAGAATTCAATCAATTCCAAAATATTCCTGGACAACGATATGTTTAGGTGATCAGAATTGTTTTTATTCTGGATAGGTTTTCTTTTCTCTCTCATTTTTTTTTTTTTTTAAATATTAATCAGACAAAAATCAACTCACTTATTTCCTTGACACTGATAAAGAGTCTCCACTTCTCGAAAGACTCTGCTGCGGCTGTGTCCTGCACTCTTTTCTATGATCTATGAAGGCGAGCAGCAGAAATTGTGATTCAATGGACATTTTGATTGACTTTAAAAAAAAAAAAAAAAAAATGTAGTACAGCTTTAAAGAAAAGTTTGCCATTAAAGAGCAACCCAACCTGTTCAAATGACATTTAAATTTGGCAAAACTGTCCCTACTTACCTTCACGGCATACTCATGTCCATTCTGCAGGCTGATACATCCTTGAACTTTAGCATATGCTCCCTGGCCGAGCACCTCATGAGTCAATTTGTAGAGATCTGAAGAAAATATGAAGTGTTGGTCAATTTTCCTGCTTTCACACGTACTGCATGTGTTTCAGTTTTAGCCTACTTACCATCAAAAGTGCCAGTGGAGCTGTCTGTCGCTCTAGTTCTTTTCTTCTTCTTTCGTTTACCTGTATCTGGGATGTTCACTGGCTGGCTTTTTTCACACTCTGTAGAGGCAGAAATGAATCCATACACACAAATTAAAACATTGCAATTTTTTTGCACAGCGCTCTCACTTTGTAAAGTTTACAAAGCTATAGAAATGCTAGGAAAAGTAAAGCATTTGTACCTGCTGGGTCTTGGGAAAGATTCTGTCTTTCCTCTGAGGTATTTCTGTTCTCCTGAATGCTCCCACAGTTTTGCCCTACTTGGCCCAAAGCAAGGGAGTTACCCTGTTACAGAGAAGGAGGCCATATGGGGGGGGACAGGGGGAGGGAATAGGGCAAAATCAGCCAGTGATCAATGTTGGTACAGTAGAGAAAAAGCAAATGAAAAAAGCAAAAAAAGGAAAATTTTAATTTGGCCTTGGTAATAAATACTAAAAATAAACACTAATCCATAATATAATAAAATGTTCTGTACATATCATAGGCTTGCAACTGTAAAATGACTAACTGCAGTTATAGAGATGCATCACCACTACTTTGATCATTACAACCACCTATGGCAATCTGCCAAAACAGTGGTCAATATGATAATACTGGAAACTCCGTGACAGGCCTTATCTGAACTTTACCAGAAACATTCAAACAACGGGGCACAGTGCTTTGATGAAACTACTGTGCACCATTTTCTGGTCCTTTTATCTTATCAGACATGTTTCAGGAAGTCAGCTTTTGTAATCACCACTAATCATAGAGTAGATCACCTGGAGGGAGGGCTGGAAGGGCTGCAACTCCGTCATCACGCCGTGCCTCACCATATCTGCCAACTGCCACATACAAATATAGTTAGTCACGTAAACATACGTAACAACTAAATACAATGCAGTGATGAGGCAAAAGGCTAGAGCAATGGAGAAGACACCGCCCAGCGTTAGCTTATGTGTTCCAGTTTCCTCTTTCTTTCATTCTTTGGTATTACATTGTGTATCGCTCTGAGTTTGCGGTTACTGTTCATCTACATGACCGCAGAATATTCACTTACAGCAAAGTTTATTGAATTAGTTAGTTCACACTAGTTAAATGCTATGTTTCGGTTAGAAAAACACAAAACTGATAATTAGCTGTTAGCTAATGGAGTTATACCAGCAGTTTGTATCGATACTGAAGTTAATAAATATGTGTACGGACAGCCAACAACGTCCACTTAGATAATTACTTAACATTAGCAACGTTGTCCTAGTTACCAGGAGGGAATTCTGTATAAAAGATCATTACGGCATTACAAAAGCCAGAGCTAGCGGTGGCTGCCTACTGTTGTTAGCCCCAGCTAGCAAGAAAGAACTCAGATAGCTTGCTAAACCGATTTACATGACCAGTTGCTAACTGTAGTCAGAGACTGTTTAAGCAACATTAAAATAAAACCACAAATGCAACAAACCCTTCAAACGTGGACTCCACGCCAGCCAAATCCCTGCAGTCAAAGCCTGTGACAGCTGATGTAAACTCCCATTGCTTTCTGTTATCAATCAGTCCAAACAGCTGATGACGTACCGGGCGGGAAAACGCGAGAGCAGACGTTTGCCCCGCCCCTTTCCGGATTAACTCCTCTCCCATTGGTAGCGTGACCGCACTAATGCAACGTCACTTGGCAGGGTTCGTCACCACGCCTCAGTCCACGTAGTGGGGATTTTTGGTGCATGATGATGGCCTTTATTTATCCATGTAACAGGTTTGGCAAGTGAGCAGTGATAATAAGTATGCTATATCTGTTGTTGTTGTGTTTTTCTTTTTCCTGCGAAAATGAAAGCAGACGCGATTGGCTGATGGGAAGAACTTTTATGCCCTTAAATCAGATTTTAAACAGTGAAAACACATCGTACAAAATACAAACTCTGGTCAACGAGAAAACAAACAATGCATCAAAACTTACACGAAGATAAAACATATACATGCACAAGAGGAAAGACAGAGTACAGGAGATGCAGTGTATAAAACAATACAGAATAATGAGGAAACTCACAGCACCATAATGAATGTGAAGTGAAAAGTTCTGTAAAGGAACTTTGCCACCATCTGCAGAAGTCTACTGAGTTTATGGGCCATGTCATATGCTTGGAAACCACTCATACAAGTGTACACAAAGCAGTTCTCTGTCTGGAGTGTTTTGATGCGGAAGTTTTCTCAAGGGGCTCAGATAACGTCATAATGTAAACTCCTTTGTCCATGTGGCTTTGTCTAATTGCATATCTTCTCTGTCATCTCTTTCTGCAGGAAAAGAAAAAGAGGAGATGTTAATAGATAGAGTCTAATATGTTGTTTGAGAAAATGAATATTTACACCGTCATGATTCTGAGAAAGAAAGCAGTTGCTCCTTGAAGACTAAAAACAAACATAATTTCCTGGGGCACAAGAGGTGGGGCAATAAAACGAGGTCTATTCAAAAGATTTATCTTTATGCAGCGTGTTGACATTAATGCCTTGTCCCTGTTTTCACATTGCAGGGGGAATTATGCAGCCCAAGCGAGGTAATGATGATAACTGCAGCTTTTTATTGACACTTGGAACACCATTCCCCATCAGCTCACATGCGATAGAGGCTCCTTAGTTGGAAAACAGCAACAAGTACAATCTTTAATTACATGACTGTCCAAAGTCAGCAGATTCTCTTATGAGTCTTTTCTCATCAGACCTAGCCATTTCCTGGATACATTTTGTTCATGATGGAAAACTGAGTGAAAACTAATTAAATTTGTGTGTCATATGGAATATATTATCTTAGTGAGAACACTATGAGCTTCAGACTGAGTGATTTTATTGTCGGTGCCTTCTATGTACAGTGGCTTGCAAAAGTATTCGGCCCCCTTGAACTTTTCCACATTTTGTCACATTACAGCCACAAACATGAATCAATTTTATTGGAATTCCACATGAAAGACCAACACAAAGTGGTGCACACGTGAGAAGTGGAATGAAAATCATACATGATTCCAAACATTTTTTACAAATAAATAACTGCAAAGTGGGGTGTGCGTAATTATTCAGCCCCCTGAGTCAATACTTTGTAGAACCACCTTTTGCTGCATTCAGCTGCCAGTCTTTTAGGGTCTGTCTCTACCAGCTTTGCACATCTACAGACTGAAATCTTGCCCATTCTTCTTTGCAAAACAGCTCCAGCTCAGTCAGATTAGATGGACAGCGTTTGTGAACAGCAGTTTTCAGATCTTGCCACAGATTCTCGATTGGATTTAGATCTGGACTTTGACTGGGCCTTCTAACACATGGATATGTTTTGTTTTAAACCATCCATTGTTGCCCTGGCTTTATGTTTAGGGTCGTTGTCCTGCTGGAAGGTGAACCTCCGCCCCAGTCTCAAGTCTTTTGCAGACTCCAAGAGGTTTTCTTCCAAGTTGCCCTGTATTTGGCTCCATCCATCTTCCCATCAACTCTGACCAGCTTCCCTGTCCCTGCTGAAGAGAAGCACCCCCAGAGCATGATGCTGCCACCACCATATTTGACAGTGGGGATGGTGTGTTCAGAGTGATGTGCAGTGTTAGTTTTCCGCCACACATAGCGTTTTGCATTTTGGCCAAAAAGTTCCATTTTGGTCTCATCTGACCAGAGCAGCTTCTTCCACATGTTTGCTGTGTCCCCCACATGGCTTGTGGCAAACTGCAAACGGGACTTCTTATGGTTTTCTGTTAACAATGGCTTTCTTCTTGCCACCATAAAGGCCAACTTTGTGCAGTGCATGGCTAATAGTTGTCCTATGGACAGATTCCAGAGTCACCATGGGCCTCTTGGCTGCATTTCTGATCAGCGCTCTCCTTGTTCGGCCTGTGAGTTTAGGTGGACGGCCTTGTCTTGGTAGGTTTACAGTTGTGCCATACTCCTTCC